CACATTGAAGAATGGAAAAAAGTATCTATGTAACGCCGAAGTGGAAATGAAAGTGCGAAAATTAGAAAAAATGAAGACCTCCGCAGGACGCTACGGAATAAGATCCAGGGCAAAACCACTCAAACCAGCCTACTTACATCAAATAATAGAACACAAGTCGCCTGCATTATGGGCCGATGATTACCGTGTAACGTCCCGTATTGACAAATCGATTATGGACCTCATTATTGTTGATATGTTACCATATTCTATTGTTGAAGGAGAAGCTTTTCAGCGACTGCATTTTGAAGATCCAAACGTCCTCTCTAAGTATAGAAAGAAAACTGAAAAGTTTTTCCGAACTAGTTTAAGGCCAGCTACATATGACAGAGTCTGAGCCAAAGTATTCACGTCTAATTCTACAGCTTAGTGGGTGAGTTTTACTACGGATATTTGGAGTAATCCTACCAAAACCTGTTCTCTTCTTAGTTTTACGGTACATTTTGTTCAAGGTCCAAAACGACTTAAGTTATATTAGGAGCTATGGTGCTTGATGACGATCATACTAGTGCATTTATGCAAATAAGCTTAATGAACTAATTCATGATTTTAAAATAGAAAACAAAATTCATATGGCTGTGTCAGATAATGCAGCAAATATCATCGCAGCTATGCGTATTGCAAAATTACATCTTTGGGTTGTGTGGCCCATTCATTGCAACTTGTATTTCATGATGCTTTATTTAAACAAGAAATTATCGAAAATACGATTAAAAAATGTCGCAAAATAGTAGAGCATTTTAAAAGGAGTGAACAGGCATGCATTCATCTGAGACAGTTTCAAGAAACCTGTAATTGCCAAAGCATTTGTTAATTCAGGATGTAGAAGCAAGACGGAATAGCACTTATCTAATGTTAGAGCGATTATTCGAACAGAAATTGCAATAAACTTTTATATGGCTGAACGTGGTGGCATTGAAGTCCCCAGTGCAGTTCAATGGGAACTAATCAAAATATAATTTCAGTTTTGACATGCTTGTGTATCGCTAATAATTCCGCTGATAACAATGCTAAATCCTAAACTATGCACCGAACAACATGAATCTGAGAAGATATGTTCTTTAAAGTTACAACTGAGTGAATCATTAAATAAAAAATTCGTCTATATTCAAAACTTCCCAGAATTATTAATTGCGACTCTTCGGATCCTCGGTTTAAGACTAAGTATTTGACAAAAGAACAGGTAGTTACATGTAAAGCTAAAATTGTATTATTTTTGAACAAATCAACCCCCAGTAGCTCTAATCCTACAAGTAATTCAAGTTCAAGTATAGTGTCCGCTAATATAGTTTCAACTCCATCATAATTAAAATGCATAAAAACTGTAGGTGTAGAAAAGAATAATCTTTGGGATTCACATGATAAATCTTGCAGTCGTTCCGACCACGATAGCAGAAACACGTTATGTAGGTTACTTAGATTCCTATTTACGAGAACCGTTGCTTTTAAGAAGTGGTGACATATTCCATTATTGGGAATCCCTATCTTCCTTTAAAGATTGCAGCTAAGAAGTTTTTATCGGCCCCCCCCAAAAAGTATAGCTAGCGAACAATTATTCAGTTCTGCTGGACAACTTTATGCTGACCGAAGGTCCAATTTACTAGGGGAAAATGCTGACAAACTACTTTTTCTTACCTATAATATTAGAATGTTTAATTATGAATATTAATTTTGAATAATTAATTTTAAAATTTTAAATCTAGTTATTTGTTATTTTTTCCTATTACCAAAGGATATTGTTTAGTTTCACCATGTTTTATCATTTTTTGGTACTTTTTAGTTATTTTATTATGTTTTAGATTATATAGGCTTCCAATTTACTAGGGAAAAATGCTGACAAACTAATTTTTCTTACCTATAATATTAGAATGTTTAATTTTGAATAATTAATTTTAATATTTTAAATCTTAATTATTTGTTTTTTTTCCTATACCAAAGGATACTCTTTTAGTTTTAGCATGTTTTATGATTTTTTGGTACTTTTAGTTATTTTATTATGTTTTAGATTATATTATATAGTTAAACAGAATAAAAATATTAAAATGTATTAATATAGAAATATTTTAAATATATTAAAATTATGAATTTTGGTTAGTTTTATATTTTTTTAACCACCTTCGGCTTCGGTTTACGCCGAAGGTGATCCGCAGACCGAAGTTCGGCTTCGGACAAAAAAATCGCCTTCGGTCGGTCTCTAGTTACGCTAGTGCATTTGAGGTTATGTAGGCTGGGGAGTTTGAAGTTTTATCTGATTTTCAGTATATACGTTATTACATTGAAACATTTCTAAAATCTACCACATAATAGAGCCATTATAATGTTCATTTTAAATCTTACACACGGATACTAGAGAGTATAAATTGCCTAAGGAAAGACACGTATTTGTCTGATGCCGATATCTACTGTCGCTAAGGAGGGAATCTAAAGCACATTTCTACAGAACACGTGAAAAATGTGAACGCGCCGCAATTTTTATGTTGATCAATCTGCAATCAAATAACGACAAATTATTATCACGTACTTTGCAAACTCCTGATTCCCAAGGTTTTTCATTTAACTCACGTTTTGCCCTGCTTTGTCGGTTTAATATCATCCAATATTTCCGCTTGCCACTTGTCTGAACTGTCAAAATTGGAGTTGCTTACTCCTTGATGCCAGCAACATAGAGGAATTCAAGTATGATAGAGATACCTCAGCGGAATCTGAAGTTTTCCGCGAAGTGTACATACGAGGCAGATGCCATAAACGCAACTCCTGAAATTCATTTCCTGCGAAGTGTACTTACGAGTTAGCCCCGCCTTCATCGTCGACACTTTCGGCTTCACTCTCACTCTAAGAGTTTAACTTCCTATTTCTAGTCTAGTCTCATGATTTTAGGTTCAAAATGGCATGTACTAAGACTCAAAACGCTGACTGCTAAAAACTATTAAAAAATCAGAATCTATGGATTCCGTAGACACTTGTACTTTTTCTTACACCACAAAATGTTGGGGCCCTAATCTCCACATTAAACCAAGAAATATTTCATACAAAGAAATCCATGTTTCACTGTCGAGTTGAGTGCAATGTATAGGAGAGAGAACCGCGGAAAGTGTTTAAAAGCATATATGCTAGAAAGAGATAGTAGACGGCTGGCTAGCGAAGCTCATCATCACGCTGCCTACCTATGCCGACGCGGCAATCTGCCGCGTTGCCGATATGTTACACCAGTTCCTTGAACTTTATTATCTACGCAAAAATACTGGTTTTATTTCGTATGTAAATATTTCTGAATAGTGAATTATGCCAAATCTGTTTAGAATCCATTCCGTATCGGTCCTGACGGCGCTACATTTCAGGTCGAAATGAATGGTCGGGATCGCCATAAATGCTGCAACATTGCATCATTGGTTCGCTTGACAACACCACATCTAGTACATTCCAAGGCAGGGTATCCAAATCCTTGATCATAGATGAGCAATTTTGGTCAGTCCACATCTAGCGCCAATAAGGGAGTGTCGTCCTGCTTCGAAATTGTTTTCTCCTGCGTACACCTAGGCAGTGATAATTTGTATAGCGTAACATTATTTTATACGTTTTCTGTCGGTAAAGGTAACAATAACTCAGGGTGTGTTGATCATAGGTGGGAATCAAAGTCAATTCTAAAAGAAGTAAATTACATAGAAAATCAAATAAAAAATAATGCTAATCAGAATGAAAACAACATATTGAATAAAATTTGACAGTAACCGACCCTAATGTAGCAGCCTGTGCAAACATTTTCTAGCATGGTAGGAGTCACCGAACGGCATGCTGCTATTATTTTCAGCCGCAACTCCTCCAAAGCGATAGCCCTTGCATGGAGGTAACCGTAGTCCTCACATATTCCCACAAAAATATCATTCGGCGCTAAGTCAGGAGATCTCGCTGGTCATTATAAGTTGTCATATATGAGAGATTAGATGTCCGAGAAAGATTGTCGCCAAAAATTCTCGGACCAGTGCCACTACTTACCTGAGAGAGAGAGGGAGAGAGAGAGAGAGAGGGAGAGAGAGAGGGAGAGAGATAATTAAAAAAACAAAAATATCCTCAATGGACATAAATATATTTTATTATATCAATCCCATTGAGGTTAGCTACAAAAACGATTTTTTTCTGTTTATATGCTTATACCAGGTGAGTACACAACATTCTGCTTAATAAACTCTTTAAAACAAAATTATAGAATGCCTAATCTTAACAAACTTTGAGTAAATATTCAATTCACTTGACTACAATCCAAAAGCTCTGTTTCTTATCACAATACTTCTGGCGCCATCACACTGTGGTCCGTGGTAAGGTAGTGCTAAAAATGGTGTCGTCGTTCCACCGCCTTCTACTGGATTACATGCTGAACACCTATTTTAGCATGTAGATATAGACTACTTAATTCTTTCACGACTGAAAAATATAACTTTAATGGTCTTGCTTACCGTTCAATAAACCACTAAAATAGTCAGTCCGTCGCCACTCTGAAAGCATACGGTACGAGTACAAAGCGGGGGGACCGGAGAGCAGACCAGCGACACATTTATGTGATAAAACTAATTTTCAGAATGATGTGAGCTGAATAAATATAATCTCTGATGATTTCCGAACTAACAGTATGACTTGCATAACATTATTGGACAATTTTTTTGATTATTTTTGCCAGGTTTTGTTCCTCACTGGCCCACTGTGCCCTTCCCCCTGCAATCGCCTATGTTGCTTCAATTACTTCTCTCGGAGGGATTTGAAATTTATGGTATTCTCATCCAATTTTTCTGCTCTTATAATTGAGGAGGTATCCGTTTTCAATGCCAGCTACAAAATTTCAAACAATAGGTTGATTTGCAGGTGGTATATTTTTTTTAAAAATCAACCTTCTAGTTCTGGTTTGACTCAAATGTGAACTACAAGAAATAAAACATTGAATAGGAAAACATCTAGCGATTTTTATTTTCAGGAATTAGCTGAAAATGGCGTCGACATCAGACAGCCCGGTGGAGGAGGTTATGTTCGAAATTGAACCGTCCCGAGTGCCGAAACCTGTACCAGTGGCTTTGGAGGATCTCTGTCGGCTCACCAAGTTCACCAGACAAGAGATTAGGATTATGTACAGGGGGTTTAAGACGGTGAGTGATAAAATTAGAAATATAATAAATAAATAATTTTCTGTATAACGTGAACATTTCGCATATGTCATTGTAAAGTGCGTCTTGAAATGTACACGGGATTTGATTTAAATACAAATTTTGCGTGATGGCCCATTTATAATTGGAGAAGTACGGCTCGGAATTTGATGAAAATTTCACACAAGGATACTACTATGAAAAAAATGATATAGCTTTGTAGTTTTTGAAAATCAGTTCAGTGGCAGCGGGGATAGAGGTGAAAACATGAAAAACTGCTCGAACTTCTTTTCTTGACGTTTCAGAGGCTCCTGATCATTTTCAGAAACAATTTTGTAGCTGTGAAATATTGGAAGTTGGGGAAGGGTATATTTAAATTTTATCATGTTTGCATGTTTATATGCCCCAACCGTGACAGTTCTACGCAACAATTAGCCATATTTCACATATCATAGATTTCCCTCCGTACATTTTTCTTTACACTTTGATAGAAAAATGTAATCGATAGCGTCTCCTTCTGCTCACCGCCCGGTGTACCGGTATCGTTGTCTGTTCTGCCCGTACTGAAGCGTTCATGTTCGTAACTAATTTTTTCTTCAGAGAGTTTAACTTGTGCTGAACTGAGCGCAACCACATACTTCCAAAATTCCTATCCGGAATATCCCAGTAATACTTAAACTAGAAAATCGTATCTCACATTTTGTGTTTGTTATACAGGGTGTAAGCATCGAAAACGAAACAGACGCATTTACTGGCAGCTGAGTTTTTTTTTGGGAAAAACGCTCAGACCCGTCGATTTTGTTTTCGAGGGGGACACAAGTTTCGCAAAAAATCACGTTAACACGTGCAGCCCCCTGGGCGGGGGTGACACCAACCCTAAAATCTTAAATGGAAAGTCAAGTGATACCTTATTTTGAAGGTCTTTCAATTCCCTTTATAATGATATAAAACTAATGTACTTCAGTTCAGTAGTTTTGAAGATGTATTGATTTAAAGCTTAGAGTAGACTTTAATAGGTACATCAGATTAGTTTGTACTACTTTCAGAAAAAATTTGACTGAAAGAATTTACTTAATAAGTAAATGCTTTTCTTCACTACGCCCATGGTTTGTTTATCATTTTGTTGTTGAAAATAACTATTGAAGAATTTTTTTTTGTGTCAAAAAAGTTATTTCTTGAAGAAAGATAAGGAAATATCTCGTACTTATTTTAAATAGGAATTTAGTACATAGTTTGCAATTGATTTGACCAAACTTTGTTGCTAAAATAACTTGTAACGCTTTATTACATAAATTAACCATGGTATATTCCACAGCAGAAAGAGTTGAAATTATCGAAATATTTTTCGGAAATAATCAGTGCGCTAATAGAACAGCATAAATATTTAATGAGCGACATGAGAACAGTAATGAAAAACGCAACATTGAAAATCCCACAAGGAGCGAAGCAATAGAAGTGGGGCTTTAGGGCAAGTTTATGTAGATCCTACGTTAAGTACCCGCAAATTGGAGACTGTGTGTGGTGTTAGTAGACGTACTGTCCTACGGATTCTAAAGGCCCATAGTTTTCATCCGTATATAATTCACCTGCTACAAGAACTTAATGAAGACGATTTTGATCGGCGATTACAATTTTGTGAAGATATGAGTGAACGAATTATAAACGATGAACATTTTCTATTCAACACTTGCTTTTCCGACGAATGTTCCTTTTGCTTAAATAGCGTAGTAAATCGTCATAACTGCCGATATTGGTCCTAATCTCATACCAGAATTTATCATGAGGTTCATACACAGCAGCCACAAAAATTAAATGTTTGGGCTGGTATCCTTGGCGATCATTTAGTTGGTCCTTTTTTCTTACCTGGAAATTTGACCAGTGAAATGTATTTGGAATAACTGGAAGACGCCATAGATCCAGCATTAACAGCCATAATTGAAAATCAGAATGATCGGCGGTACATTGCGAATAGGTTGATGTTCCAACAGGATGGTGCCCCACCACATTACGCATTACGTCTTCGACAATATTTAGATCAGACGTTTCTAGATCGATGGATTGGTAGAAGAGGTGCCATTGAATGGCCCCCAACATCGTCAGATTTATCACCTTTGAATTTATTTATGTGGAGTCATTTAAAAACCAAAATCTATGCTACTCAGCCAACATCATTAGAAGACCTGCAACAAAGAATTGTGAATGAGTGCCTTCAAATTACTCCTCAAATATTGCAAAATGTGCGGTAACGTTTTGAGCAAAATCTCTATTATTGCATGGAGAGTCATGGTGGCCATTTTCAACATTTACTTGCCTAACGGGTTAGTTCATTCTTCATTTTTAAATTACTTTGCTGCCAAATGTATTGATCTCCACTAATGATGATGTATTAGTTTTATTTAAGCTTTAAATCAATAAATCATCAAAACTACTGAACTGAAGTACATTAATTTTGTATCAGTATAAAGTGAATTGAAAGACCTTTAAAATAAGGTATCACTCGACCCCCCTTTCCATTTAAGATTTTGGGGGTAGTGTCACCCCCGCTTAGAGGGATGCATGTGCTAACGTGATTTTTTGCCAAACTTGTGTCCCCCTCGAAAACAAAATCGACGGGTCTGAGCGTTTTTCCAAAAAAACTGAGCTGCCAGTAAATGCGTCTGTTTCGTATTCGATGCGCCACCCTGTATAATTACAACAGGATGAGAAGTATAAATTGGTTCATATTCTGTTTTTGAAAATCATTTGTTCATAGATGTGATATCTTTGGTCTATTATAACCCAAAAAGCAGATGATTAAAGGTGCGTGGTTCTCGATCAGCAGGACCTAAGCACGTTGTCTAGTAGTTTCAAGAACTTTGACTGTGAATTGTGGTCCTATGGCGTCACGAGGAACCAGCTTAGGTGTATTCAACTTGGCCTTCAAAACCAACTGAGCAGAAATGAACTAATGCAGCTCGTCAAAAAACTGTTTTCCTCTCTTTAAGCTGAATTTTCCTATGCAGGTGCTTCTGCCTAAAAATAACTGGTACAATTAAGAAAATTTCATCAATTGGAATGACTCTATACTTCCCACACCTTCTATACAATCTCTAGTACAATTTTTCATGTAGTTAAAGGCATGGCATCAAAAAAGACGCGGATTTTGTCACAACAATGCACTATTTGGGCATTAAAAAAACCATCAGATTGCAGTAATCCGTTTCCGGACCCGGTAGCCTTATATCTCATGCACAAAACTCTTTGTCAACAACGTTTGATACCTCGCGAAATCAAGTAACCTCATTCATTTACACCACAAAGTATATGATAATATCGCACTCACCTCGTATATGCACATCGCATCCCCTCGCCGTCCGCTACCTGCTTTTATAAGTACCTCGAACTCACTATCATCAAAGATGCAATATTTACAACCCCGTGGCAAGTGCAACCGATAGGTACCCGACCCGTTGGCTCTAAATATTTTCAAGGGCAAATGTAAGAAGAAATTTATATATATATATATAAACTAACATCAAAAAATTTGGATTCACCCTCCACTACCCCCATTTCACAACTAATTTTTTTTTTCAAACATGATAAGGATCCTCTGAAACGTCAAAGTTTGATCGATTTTCTTTTTATTCTTGGCCTTTTTACTCGACGCCACTGGAACGATTTCGAGTAGTACTTTTCAAGATGTACGAGTAGAGGGGTCAAGGATTAGCGAACAGACAGACCGACAGACAGACAGATCGACAAAAATGAATGACATGGTTCTTCGTGATGTACTTTTCATATAAGATCCAAAAAACGATTTCTTATTTTCGAATTTTTTCTCGATTATATTACTTCTACGCCAGTGGACGTGGTAGGTAAAATCGAATTCCAGATTTAGTACTGTAATAGAGATTACATATCAATGCAAAATTCCTGCAACCAGATAAACAACTTAGGACAATAGTGTCATGCAACAGAATACCGGTATGCTTTTATCTGCGTAAAGCCGACTATTATCACTGTCAAAAAGTATTATCAACATTAGAGTTATATAGGAAAGTTTACTGGATTAACTTTTATCGGGAATCATAACTGTGCTTTGTGGCTGAAGTTGGCTAAACTAATATTGCCATGAAACAAATGGTTGCATGATACGGGTATTACAATATTAACCTGGTGGTTCATCGTTATCAATGTAAGCTGTTGAACTTGGATTAAACGGTAATGTAGTTTTGGTGAGTCTGGAAATGGTATGTTTCCAGCGAGACCCTTCATAGAGTTACCCAAGGGACTACATCAAACAACAGGCGCAGCGACTTTATATTCAAGCGGAATCGCACACAGTCAAGCTAGTTCGCAAGCGCAAGACTGCATATACAGAGGATAAGGACACAAACAAATCATTGACTGGCTGCTTCTTTCTAGTCTGAATCCGTTGGCTCTGACACACAATGAAGAATAGACGCGGAAGCATATTGTGATTTGTCCATCATGAGCTATTACGTAAACTTACGTATCAACATGTGAATTGACGTAATAGAAAAATCCTTTAACTTCAGGATTTTGATTACCTTACGTTAGATGTTTGTCACCAACAAATTATAGAGTATGATTTTCTCGAAAGTTATTAATTACCGTACGTCAGATTAAAGCTCTGAACTAGTAGAAATTGATGAACGCTAATAGTGTAACACAAATACAATTTGCACATGCTCAGAGAATTTGGTAATTTTGCCAATATGCTCGTACTACTACTGTTAGGTGAATCATTATTTTGCGGAAAAATCATGGCCTAATTTTATTTACAAATCAGACGTTACAGGTTTTTGGCGTTTTCAACTGATTTATTAACGATGTACTATAAAATTAATATTGACATACATGGAATATTGGGAAATTATCACGCAAACTCGATATGAAACTTCCATTTCGAGTCGGACGTTTGTTATAAATGCTATGTATTTGTATCTTTCCAAGTTTATTGGTTTACAATTGAGAACCACATACTATTTAAACCAGAAGCT